GTGTTTTTTTGTGTGATGAGATTGTGGTTGGTGTGGATATGGTCTGTGATTCGATTTAGTTCGGTTGGGATTTTGAATGGACACATCAGTTTGAATTAATTTTGGGAATGATGACATAAATTTTTATTTTGATTTATTGAATTGACTGATTGTGGTGTTGATTGGTGTTGGGTGAACCTGACGAATCCTCTCTGACGCCACTCTTGATCAATGCATACCCCGCTTACTGTAAGGGTTGTTGGCTCCAGCCTCATCAGGTGCTTCTTTTTCATCTGGTTCATTTTCCACCATGGATTGTGTTCTGTGAGTTGACTCCAAGTTGGGGACATTTAAACCAGCTCTGCACAAGAGGAGTTTACATTTAGCATATAAGTGGATTAAATTTTAATTTTCTAAACAGCTATATAGCTACCCCATTTTTTATTGTATAAGTGTGCCCAAAAATCTGGTACCTGGACTTTTATTTCAAGTGAGCAGTGTGTGTCAGTAATGAAACTAATTTTGGTTGCCAGTTGTCTTGAGACTCACACGGCCATTATGTCACGCTGCATCCTCTCCAACTGCTTCCTCCTGTGTCTCTTGGAGGACATTACCACCAGTAGTGGAACTATCACTGCTACAAATGCTACTAGTAAGGTGAACACTGCAACTCCTATTACAGCCCATGTTAGTAGTGAGCCTCTGTTAGCACCAACTGCAGCTGTGGAAGTTCAGTGACATGACTGATCAGAACTCAGAATTACCTCGCTAAAGTGCAAACCATCCGGCGAACTGCGCATGCGTCATACCGCTAATTGATGGGCTGGGCTATCAGTAATGCGTTTGAGTTTCTCGCTACTATATAGCTCGCGGAGAGTCTGGCACGGGCTAGCTAAAATAGTAGATAGCATGGGGGAGTCGATACATACCCTTCGTTGTGACTTCTTGTGCCTTCAAGATACACAGAGCGAGCGGACCTGGTCGAGGTAAGCTCAGCGCCGAGCGCCGCGCCGCGCACACACACGCATGCGCACGGATTGGGCCGCGCAACTCGGTCCTCGACCGCGCCAGTTTCTCGCTCTCGAACCCAGTCGCAGCAAAATGTTTTTCAGGCTCGCGTAGTTCTGCAGTCGTTGGTATCGCGCCACGTAACTTGTAATGCCAAAACAGCTGCTGACGGAAGACAGACACACACACGTACGTACACGTACACACGTACACAAGCATTATAACCCTCGCTGCGCATGCGCGCCGAGGATTACTATACTGACAACTATTTACAGCATTGCTACACCAGAATAGGCCCATGTCCATCTTGGGGATCCATGCTCCCCGAGAAATGTTGACCTTTTGGGAGTAGGTTGGTGGGTATGCAGCAAATGGCAGTAATATGCACTGTTGTTTTTGCCTTTGCAATACCCAACACAAATGTAACTGTGTAGATCTTGCACAGTACTTTAACCCCCTTTAGTGCATTCTAAGATTTAAGGTAACTTCAGATTTGACAACGCATCTGTCATGCCTACATGCAACACAACAATTGAGTATAGTATACACCACTGTTGTCTGTATATAGCCACCAAAGTATAATGCAGAAGGGATATGTGAACATGTGCATATTTTATCGGCCAGTTATGCCGAGGATGTTTCCCCTCATTCAGGATAGCTACCCCCATTTGACCTGTTGTTTTGTCGAAGTTCATACAAACTTTAGGTAGGAAAGAGACAGTTGTGTACACACTGCACAGCGAACATTAAGGGTGATAGCTAGCTACTTACTAGAGAATTTCCTGCATGAAACTGCTGTTTTGGTACAGTCTCCTGCTGTTGATAGTACATCATGACTGCACTCATTCACGTATCTCTCAGACCCTGTACATGTGACTGGATCCAGAAATGCCAGTGCATTCTCAGCAGCATCAGGAGGTGCATCAATAAGTACTCCATCTGGGAGAAGTAAGTGATCACTTTCTAGAGCATCATAACACACATACCATATATACCTTCAGAGTAAAAACCTAGGTGCCTGCAAACAACCCTAGTGTCGTTAGCGTCCCATCCCATCACTACAGACACCTCCCCATACTCTGTCACGGCAAAACTCAACATAGCCATTGTAAGGACTCGCCCCACCTCGTAGCCTAACATCACATTCTCACATCCTCTCTTCTCATCTGTGAATCAATCATAGCGCTTACTGACAAATTCTACACACATCAACATGTGTATATACCAAAGCAGCTGATAATAATGTCAGGATCAGTAACATTATGGTATCCGCAGTGATGTACTCCGATGCTGGAATGCGAACATTCCAATAGTTCTACTTCCGTTCCAACACATCGTACCTCTCCTATTACTGCATTCCTCTCACTGGTCCCATACTTATCTGGGCTATGGTCAATAACATATGCACCTGTGGGATAAGGATGGGTATAAATGGGCGAGTGGTGTTGTAATGCAATGATCTCACCATATTGAGAGAACCCTAGTGCCCGACACACCACTCTGGCTAGGCTGGCATTGTCAAGACTCCAGTCCCCCAGGGCATTGCACACTCTACCCCACACCCCATGAGCACAGAACTCCAGTCTCCCTGTGGAGTTTGCTACTCCACCCACCAGACGAACTGTACCGTGTTCACACTCCTCAACTGGTTCATAGAGGATAATGTGCTTTCTGGCATTAGAGTTTTAGTTGATTTACCAAAGCAGTTCTCCACTACAGTAGAGATGTCAGAGCAGCAGTTCCCATACATAAAACAGTTTGTGTCGCAGGAACACTTGAACTCTGAATTGTAGCAACTGCTACTGCTGCATTTGCTGCAGTTAGTTAGACCTTTAGTAAGACATGGAGCTGCAAAACACAAACTCAATGTAACCACTCCAACTGAATGCAGGCAAACATACCTCTACAGTCAACTCCAGCCACATGCCTACAATGACGAACATCCAGTACTTCTCCTTTTGAACATTCACTGAATGCACTCTGTGTGCTATCACACCGTATCCTCAGTGGCAGAAGAGGACTGGACCCTCGACCAAAATTGACTAGCACTGATGCTGCACACACGTATATATAACACATAATACTGTGCTGCTTGGTGTAGCTACCATAGTCAGGATTGTTGAAGCCTGCAGATTCACAAAGCACTCTGGTCTCTTCTCCAGTGCTTTCCCAGTCATCAGCACACACAGCGTACCATGCTCCACTATGACAATACAGTACCCTCCCCTTGGACACATCATCACTTCCCACCAGGTGTACTGTCCCCTCCATACATCCTGACCCATCTATAGCTGGAGGAATATCTCTCTACGCGTGTTACTTTACTCTTCATACACTAGACATACTGGTGCATATTACTCCTGCTTTTCCATGATTACAGTCATCTGTTTCCTCTCCTCCACACTCACTCAGCATGAAGTTGTTATGAGGGCTGTGCCTGTAGCTACCATTACCATGGTTCAACAGTGGATAGGATGCTGGTATAAAGAGCAATATTAAACGGATGATACAGTCGGTAGAACACACAGACTATATACCGATTCCACTCACGTCCTTCATATCCCAATTGTTGACAAACTACTCTGGCCTCCCTGACATCCCATCTGTCATCACACACTGGTGTCCACCCTCCATGCAGACAAATTTCAACTCGTCCATCATGTGGTGTTTGGCCACTGACCAATCGAACATCACTTTCGTTACATTCCCTAACTGTAGATATCAATGACAAGGGCAAAAGAGGGATAACTATAATGACCCCCCATATTCAGACAATGAAACTTACAGCTACATGTAACAACAGGTTCTCCGCCATGGTCGCAATTCTGCCCACTTATTTCCTTGTATTCACAGTCACTTAGTTTGCTTTCATTTCCATTGCAATCAACATCATCCAGGTGAGAGTATGTTTGGCCATTTGAGGAAGAGGAAGAGCTCTTTGTTAGAGATACTTTGAAGAGTGATAGAATGCATGACATAGAGTTAATCGGCCAGGCAAACAACTCACATCCATCATATCCCAATTGTCGACAGACCACTTTAGCATCTCCAATGTCCCACTGATCATAACACACAGAGCCCCACCCCCCGTCAAGACATATCTCAATTCGTCCATCATGCGGTGTTTGTCCCTCAACCAATCGAACATCAGTCTCATTACACTCCCTGACTGGAGACATTAGTTTGGGTAAGTGGGGGGGGCAGGTAAACTTCAACTACAAATCTGGAGTGGAGATAGAACACTTACAGTGACAAATGACTCCGGATTTTCCAAGGGCGCATCTGTGCACGCCTACATCTCCATGTTCACAATCACTTAATTTGCTTTCATTTCCTTTACATTCAACCTTATCCGATGACCACACATAAAAGGAATCTTCATATTCCTTGGGAAAAGACACTGTGTGGAAGAAGACAAAGTCCCAAACATAGAAATGCAGACGGTTGATAAAACTCACGTCCACCATATCCCAATTGTCGACAAACCACTCTGGCCTCCCTGACGTCCCACTCATCGTTACACACAGAACCCCAAAACCCATTGTAACATGTCTGCACTCGACCCTTGGTAGCTGTTTCACCTTGTACCAGTCGAACATCAGTCTCGTTGCACTCTGAAACTACAGGTTTTTTTGGTTTTATCAGTATAAGACAAAGTGCAATAGTCTGAGTATGTAGTTTAACTAACCATTATGACATTTTACTCTAGCAACATCATGTGAGTTAAGACAAAAATCAAAATGAGAACAGTGCTGGAGTTGAGTCTCATCCCAGGTACAGAAGAAAGAATAACTATCAGTATTTGATTCTGTGCTATAGGCATCGAGAGGGTAACCATCTGTGTGATAGAAATAGCAGCTGAGCATGAATTAACTCCCATACAGGCCAACTCATACATCACTTACGCATAAATCCAAGCTCCCTACATGTGACAAGGATCTCCGCTATGTCCCAACCACGACTACACGCTGTGTTCCACTGTCCGTCGATACAAATGTGCACTATGCCTTCGTTCTCAGTCGTCCCGTTAATCAATCTCACAGATCCTTCAGAGCATTGCTGCACACTTACTGCGAAACCGGAGCTGTATCTCTTTAGACCGTAAAGAAATTAGCTATTGCTTACCTACAACAGCAGACCACAGAAGCAGCAGAAACGCTGCATCTCTACGAAGTCCCCACATTGTACCACGTGAAGGGCTTTAGAAAAAATAAGCCCCTTTTGTTAGATCATCAGCAACGCTGGGTTGGCCAAGGACTAAATCTCATAGGTAGACTATAAATCGATTCCCTCTGCGCGCATGCGCAGCGAGAAAGCCAAATTGCACCGGGCCTACCCCGCTCGCTATGTATACCTTGGAGGCACAAGAAGTCACAACGAAGTAACTGTATCGACTCCCGCATGCTATCTACTAGCGTAGCTAGCCCGTGTCACTCTGCGCGAGCTAGCGTGCAGACCACATGTATACGCATACTCGACTCTTGGCCCGGCCGCCCATCAATTAGCAGTACCGCGCATGCTCAGTGCGGCATTTGTTGAAATGCCGCACGTATTACTTGGCGGCCCAGTCCAACCTCATGAAACGCTAGTGGGCGTCTGACTGAAGCATGAAGTGTGTTTTAATCTCGCCCGAACGCATGCGCACGCGAAATAATTTCCCGACCTTGCTCGTGTTTCAACAAATAATTCTGTCGTCCAACTGTGCATAGCTACATGCTTGTAAAATAGCGTTTGCACATTATCTCATGCAGCTCTCGCTCCCGCTCACCAAATATATGCTCTCCATTCACACGCACTAGTATTGCCTCTTCATTACAGGAAAAGGGTTTTGATAGAACAGCCTGCATGCATCCCTCATATCAAAATGGGTTGTAGATATGATTGCATAATGTTCACCAGACCAGGTTAGGAACATAATGTCTCCAGCTTCCACTTTGTAATGATTATAGACTGAAGTAAACTACAATTCGTCTCTGGCCCACCATTGTTCTAAACTTTTAATTTGCCTCTGAAGAGCCTTCTTTTGATATCCTCTTTCAGTTGACCACCTGTCTTGATCTGTGATGTCCACCACAAACACACATTAGAGCACCGAAATAATTAAGAATATGGGATATTTTACCTTCTATATCTCTCCCATATCACGGTCATTTCCTTGCTGGTGCTATATACAGTGAGATATAAAATTGAGACTGTAGCCTGTAATAATAATAATGTCATAACAACAGTAGCTAGTCATAGTAACTCTGGCAAGGACTCAAAGTACGATTAGAGAAGTGGTGAAGCAAAATTGGAAGAGTGGCTTTTGTATTTTTTGCACGCAAGAAATTCCTTGGCTCACCAGTATCACTAATGTAGCCTTTGTCTCCATAGAAATGAGTGGGGTGCACCAGAGTGGGGTGAGCTGAGTAGCTGTTCAGATTTCTCAGCGGATAGTGCAACTCCAACCTCTTTCCCTGCCTGAATAACACACACAGTCAATCCTCACAAGCCCTCTCCTAAACCTAATAGTTAAACGTATGCAAAGGCAATACCAATGACCTTGGTGCTATCTAGTTAACAACCATGACCAGTTGGGAGGGACTCACTTTGTAGCGGAGTTCCCGCATAAGACTGATAAACTCGTCAGTTGGTATTAGTTTGTGTAAAGGCTCTGCAGCTAATAGTTTCTTAGCACCTCTTCTACTCAAGAGGTAGCATAACATTAGATAGGAGTGGCCAGGCTTTACAAGCCACTTTGTCCCGGGAACCAAAGGTTCGGTTGCAGCTCTGTTAACTTTGTGACGTCCAATGTAACTGTGGAATGTTGAAAGAAGGTATTATAGTAAGTCACATTATATAGATGCATGTAAAAGGTGGTATATAGCATAATAAGCTGTGGGTGAAGTTGTCATCGTCAGTTTGTGAGGCACAGTGATGCCATGCATCAAGGTTTGAGAGCTCACATGTGGTCCCAGTCAGGAACATATCTATTGGCCTCCAGGATGACTTCTGACAGTCCTCTGCTGAAGAATGTTTTGAACTTCACATCATCTTCCATCACCAAAATAGTCTCCTGCTTCTCTTCAAGCATCTGGAGTCAATAAACGTGACACATTTGCACTGTATAGCTATGCCTCTGCTCTTACCTTCTTCCAGATGGTGTAGTGGCTGAGGAAGCATCCAACCTGCCCCTTGCGCATCTTTTTTGTTGTTGCCCTCAAAATCCTCCAGTCCACTATCCAGGTACCTGATCCCCAGGTCATCTTCCAGGTAGCTGTCATTAAGGCTTCTGAAAGCGATTGTAATAGAAAGAACATTTGTTGCTAAATTAATCAAGAAGTGTGCCAATATAGAAAGAGCTACTTGCCTTCCATCAATGCCATTAAAAATGGTGTAGTTGTATCCAATTTCGTCTAGCAGGGTTGTCATTCTTGCCCTCCGTTCTGGTCGTCGAGCTAGATTCACCAGGTAAATCTGTAATAGTAAATTGTGAGCTCAATGAAATATGTTGCAAAATTGTCATGAGCACTTACTGCGTCAAGTCCTATGGCGGCATTTCTTACGTTAGGTCGCTGTCTCTTGGCATACTTTGAGTAGATCAATGGTGGATGAGTAGCTGTTGAGACAAAGTAAGCAGTCAGTAGCCTATCATCATCAGTGGTGATTACAACTAACCAAGGGTGTTGATCTTGAACTGGAAAAAGTCGTCTGAGGCTTCATTGATGTTTGTATTCTTCTTGTTTGGCATTATGAATCCAAAGAACTCAGTGTTGAGAATGTACATTCCAACACCTGGAGAGATAATCGTGGGAACCATAGAGAGCATATTCACTAGACTGTTATTCATTATTCCAGACCTTCATCCTGGGCAGAGAAGGCAAACTGTTTGACATCATCCACACGTCCTATGAACCTGGGGTGCGGGGGATGGTAGACAAGGTTCTCAGCGTATGGAGAGGCCAGGTGGACCAGGACAGCTCCATACACCAGAGGACACTGGAAACAGCCAACTCTCTTTCTCTGAACAATACCCATGTATAGGTCATCAGTCGCATACTGACCCTGTGGGTGTTTTTCGTTTTGAAATAATACTCCAGCTATATTGTGGTATGATACCATTTCATCCATGGCCATCCAAAAGTTCGAACCAGCTGAAGATTTGGGAGGATCCAGCATGGGAGCAACAATAGTCCTGCGGAAGAATCTCTTATTGGAGGAAGAATAGGGTTAAATCCTTACTTGTCTTGTGCCATAAGTGTATGAAGAGTCTTTGGGTTGACAAGGAAACAATCCACATCCAATGACTGCATGAGAACAACATACATGCCAAAAATACAGTCATGATGCTCAGGACTTACTAAAAGATAGTCTGCCCTGGCTGTCAGTGCAGCCTCCAGAGCCTGCTGTCTAAGTCGAGCCTTGTTCTTGGAGCGATTGATTGATGTGGAGTAGGGGTCTCTGGTGGGGTAAGTCCAGGTGTCTGAGGCATGGCAATCCACCGACTTGTACAGCTCTCTCACTCTCCTACACCAGTGCTTGAGGGCTGATGCTGTTCCATCCACATTATGGTCTGTACGGAACCTGCATTAATTAAGTGCTGTAGAACCTCAAAGTCTTATGCAGGGGTGCCGGTGTGCACAACACTGTATCCTGGATATCACAGATGGAATGGACATGCAGTAGTCCACGAGCTACGTGAAAAACTGGCCATAGTCATAGTAGCTAGCTATGCATCCAACGAACTTTGCTTTGTTTTTCCTGAAAAAATCTGTTGACTTACCATAGCGATATCCTGTCTTTAGGATAGTCCAGACGTTCTAGGTACCCAAGAAAATTAGGCAGCGCGTGCAAAGAATTTGTCAATAGCACCGAGACGAATACGTGCGGCGGCAGTCCGTATGCGGCTTCGTAGAACTTGTCCGCACTTTCTGGGGCCGTCATCGACAGTGAAGTTAGTAGCAAACACAAGGAGCTGCCAATCCACAGCACTCGTGAGCACTTGACCATCGCGACTGTCACTTTCTCAGTTGTAGATGTGCTTAGTAACTGCTGTGAATAATGTCAGTTGGTTAGCTGGTTAACTACGACGTTTACTGCTCAACAGCAGCAAATTAGTTTTATTGGGCTTCACTTGAAACTTACAACCAATCCCTACTTTGGTATGCATTGTCAATCACAAGATGCCGGTGTAGCTAACCACAGTAACCAGCTATGCAGGCTGCCATGCACTAACAACAAAATAATATATGAACCAAGAACTCTAACAAATCTTAGTTGTACACAGGAGTAACAGTCACGATGTTTGGGTGTTTGAGAATGCGTGGTTCTCTCTGTTTGCTGCTTGCTCTACTGACGATGACAATCAGTGCTGAAAGTGCGGAAAAGTTCTACGCAGCGGCATACGGATTATCGCCACACGTATTCGTCTCGGTGCTAGTGACAAATTCCTTACACGCTCTGCCCAATTTTCTGGGATACCTGGAAGGTCTGGACTATCCTAAGGACAGGATATCGCTATGGTGAGTTCAAGTACTAAAGAACTAAGACTAGCCGACAGCACACGCGCAGGCGCTTGCGGTTTTCGATTCGCAGATACACGGGGTTTCCAATTATGCAGGTTCCGTACAGACCATAATGTGGATGGAACAGCGTTCGCCCTCAAGCACTGGTGTAGGAGAGTGAGAGAGCTGTACAAGTCGGTGGATTGCCATGCCTCATACACCTGGACTTACCCCACCAGAGACCCCTACTCCACATCAGTCCATCGCTACAAGAACAAGGCTCGACTTAGACAGCAGGCTCTGGAGGCTGCACTGACAGCCGGGGCAGACTATCTTTTAGTAAGTCCTGAGCATCATGACTGTATTTTTGGCATGTATGTTGTTCTCATGCAGTCATTGGATGTGGATTGCTTCCTTCTCAATCCAAAGACTCTTCACACACTTATGGCACAAGAAAAGTAAGAAGTCTACTCTTATTTTCCCTCCAATGCAATGAGAGATTCTTCCACAGGACTATTGTTGCTCCCATGCTGGATCCTCCCAAATCTTCAACTGGTTCGAACTTTTGGATGGCCATGGATGAAATGGTATCATACCACAATATAGCTGGAGTATTATTTCAAAACGAAAAACACCCACAGGGTCAGTATGCGACTGATGACCTATACATGGGTATTGTTCAGAGAAAGAGAGTTGGCTGTTTCCAGTGTCCTCTGGTGTATGGAGCTGTCCTGGTCCACCTGGCCTCTCCATACGCTGAGAACCTTGTCTACCACCCCCCGCACCCCAGGTTCATAGGACGTGTGGATGATGTCACACAGTTTGCCTTCTCTGCCCAGAACGAAGGTCTGGATAACAGTCTAGTGGATATAGATACTCTTTAGGGTTTCTTCTCCAGGTGTGGGAATGTACATTCTCAACACTGAGTTCTTTGGATTCATAATGCCAAACAAGAAGTATACAAACATCAATAAAGCATCGGAAGACTTTTTCCAGTTCAAGATCAACACCCTTGGTTAGTCTTTATTATTAATGATACTGACTATTATATTTACTTGCTCAACAGCCACCCATCCTCCTCTGATCTACTCAAAGTATGCCAAGAGACAGCGACCTATATTAAGAAATGCTGCTCTGGGACTTGATGCAGTAAGTGCTCAGGAATTACACAGTTATCGTTGAGCTGCCTATTTATGGTAATAAAAATTCTTATGCTGATCACAGATTTATGTGGTGAATCTAGCTCGACGACCAGAACGGAGGGCAAGAATGACAACCCTACTGGACGAAATGGGATACAACTACACCATTTTCAATGCCATTGATGGAAGGTGAGAATTGTATTGGTTATGCACTATTCAACTTGAGCCCCTTATTGCATTATGTGGCTGGCAGGAATCTCAATGATAGCTATCTGGAAGATGAGCTAGGGATAAGGTATCTGGATATAGAGTTGGATGAGTTTGAAGCCAACAACAAAAAGATGCGCAAGGGGCAGGTTGGATGCTTCCTCAGCCACTACACCATCTGGAAGAAGGTAAGAGCAGAGGCATAGCTATACAGTGCAAATGTGTCACGTTTATTGACTCCAGATGCTTGAAGAGAAGCAGGAGACTATTTTGGTGATGGAAGATGATGTGAAGTTCAAAACATTCTTCAGCAGAGGACTGTCAGAAATAATCATGGATGCCAAGAGAAATGTTCCTGACTGGGACCACATGTGAGCTCTTACACAAACTACCTGGCCTGGGTAAAGTCTGGTGTGCCTCATGAAACTCTATCGTCAATGTGATGTACACCACTTCCATTTGTACTCCAAGAGTTTGGAGGAAATATCTCACACTCTTTGGTATAATTATCCTACTCAGCCAGATTTTATGTAACGTGAACTTAAATTGGTTCTGTGTGATAGACCACTCTGGTCATCCCTTCATACATTGTATATATAATTTTTTATATTATACCAACTAAATGATCCTCTTTGTACGAAATTCTGCACTGCCATACATAGTTACCTTGGACGCGTCAAAGTGGACCGAAGAGCCATTGAGCCTCATGTCCCTGGGACACAATGGCTGGTGAAACCTGCCCACTCCTTCCTCATGCTGTGCTACCTCCTGAGCAGAAGAGGCGCAGAGAAACTGATTGCTGCAGATCCTCTCAGCAAACTGCTGCCAACTGATGAATTTATAAGTCTCATGCGTGGAACCCCAGCAAAGTAAGACAATCGCGGTGGCTCCATACTCTGATTACTCTAATATCTATGATGGTAACTTGTTATTCAGGAGAGGAAAGAAGTGGGCATTGCACTATCCGCTGAGAAATCTGAACAGCTACTCAGCTCACCCAACTCTGGTTAGCCCCACTCACTTCTATGGACATAAAGATCACGTCACTGATACCGGTGAGCTAGACCTTAGCTGTGGTTTAAAGATAGTATGGCAAAATTGTTCCTTTGCTACTGCACAATCTCGGTTATTTAGCACCACCAGAGGAAATGGGCAAGCTATTGGAAAAGCACAAAAAGAGCAAAGAGGTATATAGCTGTACTACACAGTTCAATGTTTGTGAAAAGTATTATATATACAAAAAATCCCGTTTGTTTAGATCAAAATCGATGACGGAGTGAGAGAGGGTATCAAACAGAAAGCTCTTCAGAGGCAGATTCAAAAATTCAAGAACATGGCGGTCAGAGATGAACTGTAGTCAATAGATCCTTGTGTATAATTACAGTGATGTATAAATTTATTTTGCGACATGAAGTCTTTAGTTATAATTATACATGAAGTAAGGGAAGACAGCAGCACATAGGTGCTAAGGAGTGGTTAAAATGAGTGGGAAAGACATACCAGCAGTGGGTAGAAAATCTAGTGTAAACTAAAGCATGTGCAACCCCCTGCAGGATAGCTATCTACAATCCCAAATCATTCAGTCATATTAAGGAACTGGAGCCCCCTTAAACGCGGGAGTCAGCAACAGTTGCTACAGTTTGTACAGACACCAACCAGAGTGTTCGTTTCACAGTGTACCCTAATGAATTTTGAGGCCAAAGTATCAGCAAATCAAGGCAAAGTTGGGTGGTTGGTCCATATCATGAACAATACACACATAATATATGGTCTCTATGTGACTACAGAGTCGTCATTGGTGGCAGGGGAGGTGGTGGGGGTACGGTGCTGCAGCGATGAGTGGGTGTCAAACCGGTCAACCTCCTCCCAGTTGAGCTGCCCGATCCTCCCATTGGTCACACCCACCAGGAACCTCCAGTAGGAGTGTCGCATGTTGTGAGCCTCAAACACGGCCTGCATGTGTGTGGATATTTGAGAAACAGGAGGAAAGCAAAAGGGAAGTGAATCGCTGGTTTTGACTCTCAGTTTGCAGCTAGCGAGCTCAGTAATTGACCAAGTGCTATGCTACAGGCTCTATGTACGTACATCAAGGGCTTGTTAACCCTCGGCGCGCATGCGCAGCGAGGGTTACAGTACTTGGGTCTGTCTGTCTGTCTGTGTGTCTGTCTGTTTGTCTGTTACTCTCTATCTCACTCCTCGAACGTCTGTTCGTCCCAGAAACGATACCATCTACCCAACGGGCGACGAAGGTCAGAAAATAAAGGCGGTTTTCTCTGAAAATGCTCCGTTGCAAAGCTAGAGCACGAAAAAGCCAATATGCAAATACGCAACGGACGGGATGGCTTACCGCGGTCTGATCGATCCGCGTGCTCTGCGACCTCGGAGGCACCAGAAGATGCAACGCAGGGCGTGTATCGCCTCTCGCATGCTGTCTAGTAGTGTATAGTTAGCCCGCGTCAGACTCTGCGCGAGATGGGCAGAACTAAACCCAGCCCATCAATTAGTGATACAGCGCATGCGTTTACTCACGTGTGCGCGTCACAATGCGCCGAGGGTTTGCAGTTCAGTGCTTTTCATTTTGTCATGGGGGGATTCCTCAGTATTTCCCAAATATTTCAAGAAGGGACAGAGAGATTTGGATATTGCCTTTCCCTCTTGAGGAGATGTTTTGGATGTGCATGTTTCATATCCTATATCCTTGGCATCTGCACAATACGCTGTCCTGTTCATATATCATTATTCAAAGTATACCGTGTGAAAGAGAAGTGCAGTTGAAAGTGAATAGAGGATCACATCGCCATAGTAGCAGCTGCGAGCCCAGCCTTTCTTCACAGCCTTGAAGTAAACCACCTGCCACCAGGGAGATAGTCGACCTGTGAGTAAACACCTCTTCTCCTGTTCAACCAACCTCTAGTGCTTTTGTAGCAGCATACAGGGAGATGGCTGAGCTGCGGATCGTTGCCATTGCTAGGCCAGCCACAAGAGCTGCACATACGTACATGTGTAAACTACGAGGTATATAGAACGGCAAAGGCACAACAAACAAATCGACTACACCCAGGACAGCTCTTTGTTCAAAGAAAAAAGAGCTGCCCTAAGTGGGATTTGAACCCACAACACTCTGCAGTCTAGATCAATACGACAATAGCACCACTACTCCAATGAAAAGCACTAAAGTGCAAACCCTCGGCGAACTGCGTATGCGCGGTACCGCCGAATGGATGGGCTGGGGCGGATTGGCGTTTACTCGCGGTCTCCCGCTAGTAGCTTGCGGAGAGTCTGACACTGGCTAGCTACAGTAGTAGATAGCATGCGGGAGTCAATACACACCCTTCGCTGTGGCTTCTTGTGCCTCCAAGGTACACAGAGCAAGCGGATCAGGTCGAAGTGAGCCAGCATACTGCGTCTAATACACGCATGCGCACCGCCTTATTAATGGGTTGGGCCACGCAATGCTGTCCGCGACCGTGTCAGTTTGTCGCACTCGAACGCAGTAGTTTCAGCAAAATCGCCATTTTCTTTTTCTAGCCCATGTACCGCTAAAGCTGTTGGTATCGCTCATAAGCCGCCTCGTAGCCTGTAGTGCGAGAATAGTCGTAGACAGACACACAGACAGACACACGAACGACTACAGTAACCCTCGCTGCGCATGCGCGCCGAGGGTTAACAACTATTGCACAGACAGATAGAACACCGTAATATGCTGACTGCATTAATACACCTGCTAGTGTCATTCTTGTGTTATGGTCTACTGGTAGGAGAAGTAGTAGAACCTCCAATAACTGAGAAAACAAGATTAGTTAAAGCACTTGTGGCTTGATCTCAACTAACCTTGAATCCACCGATGTTTACTGCCAAGAATGCTCCAAACCTTACATTGTACCAGTTGAATAGAACACTCTTTAACCTGGCTGTAAGAATATCAGCACAGTACAACATTGGTAGAAAGGCAAAGACAGTGTCTAATACTCACTCCAGCGTTTAAAGACTTTTGTTCCAGAGCTGAGCAGTCCCAGAGCTACTTGAGTGACATATCCAACCAAGTAACACCACAAACTCAGCTGTTTAACAGCCGTGTTTCAGCTAAAAGTAGCACGCATGCAAAACACTGCGAAAGGCCACTTACCAGTGCTAATCTCACAGTCATGTAGCCCATGTACCGCCATTTGGTGACAGCTCCCTTCCTGTTGCAAGGACACACTATACTTAGAAGCAAAGGTGGCTAACTACCTTATACTCTCCACAAATCTTGCCACTCCCTTAGGATAAAGTGGATGGAAGAGTACACTGAGGTACATAAATAGTGGCAGTGTTAGCGACAAGGAAAAAGGGATGCTGTAAAGTCTTACTTGAGAACACTACCAATGGCATCGTGTAGACCTTGTTTCGACCTATATACATAAAAAGGTTTTAACCAAAAATGAACTGTGGTTCAAATAACCTGTATGCAGGTAGTAGGACTGCTGACGCAGCAGAGAATAGCATCACCTGAGTATAATAATGAAAACACTAAAGTGCACGCCCTCAGCGCACACACCGCTAATTGATAGGCTTCAATTTACATTCTTGCTAGTCTAATACTTTAACCTTTCGCTGAGTATGTGCACCAAGGGTTAATGGAAGCACTTGAAAGTGGATAACTATAGTCAACATTACGCACAAACTCAACTTGAAGAGCAGTAGTTTTGTGGCACTAGTTTTTCTGACAAAAGCAGAATGGACATAGGGCAATGTGCTGAGAGTCTGTCACAGGCTGTCACGGGCTGGCTACCCTACTAGATAGCACACAGGAGTCACTACACACCCTGTGTTGCAACTTCTGGTGCCTCCAAGGTACGCAGAGCAACGGATAAGAATGAGGTCAGCCTGTGCAAATTTGCATATTGGCTCTTGAACTTGGTTTTCACGCCATAACTCTCGAACAGTACTCTTACGAAATTCGCCAAATTTTAAATAAAGTCAGTGTAGCACTCAATCTTTTGGTATTGCTCTTTTGTTGTCTTGTTGCACGTAGTGGCAGAAAACGTGGTGACAGACGGACAGACACACACGCGAACCAAGTACCGTAACCCTCGCTGCGCATGTGCGCCGAGGGTTAAAAATACAGCTGTAAGCCTCAACACAACATTGCCACAGTGATCATTATACCTCTCCATAGGGGATGGGGGTTATGTAGCCTCTGTACTTGAACATTCGGTACAAGCACTCCACTGCCTGTGCAGATACAAGCAAGACAACACGTCATGGGTCTCTTTGCACGCATATATAAATATTTATAGTGACATGGTCGTGTTTACATGAGATGGAGAAAACTGTAACGATCCAAATTTTTACGTAATAATATATTTATATAAAGTTATGAATACATAGTAGCACTCACCAGCGTGAATACATATCCTGTGAGAAGGCCTCTCCTGATAGAAATGGAATGACAGTGTACATCATCAACCGTCCAGGTAAGATATACATTACCTGCTCTTTCGCTCCACTACAATGGCACAGAGAGAGGCACATGCAGCTGGAGCATATGCTATCAGGGGGAAGTAGAATCTGCCTATCAAACGCCTGTCAGTAAAAACAGATGCGGTTGTATACATAATGACCACCAATACAGAGTTGTATAAACACATCGCCATACAGTGGAACATCCAAACAAGGGACACCATGAGGATTATTCCCTTGTAGAGAGGTCGTCTCTATCTCGGAGGTAAAATAAAATACACAAAAATATAAGCATGGGGTTGAAACAGGTGTCCTTTGTAGAGAGGAGGTTCCACTGCAGTAGTGAAACACCAAGTGTGAGGTGACTGTACTACCTGAAGAGGCAGAGGAAACCAATGAAGCCCGATGCATTGACGGCCAGGAACAGGGAGGACCTCAGTATGTAGGGCACGGTCTGAAACAGCGTGGCCTTCAGAGTTCTACTGCGCAGGATGTCAGACACCTAGAGAGAATCAGATATCACCTCTACAACACCATCCAGGTCTAACATTGGTGTAATTCGAACCCTACATAAAGTAACTTAGCAAGCCCCCCACTGGCAAATAGCATAGATCTATGCAATCATAGTGTAGACCTTTATGGTTATTCTCACCAGGTAAAGAGGTGCATACACTTTCAGTGCTCCCACGTAGACGTAGTAGAACAACTCCAGGAAGCAGTAGAGACAGCTGGGGTGCCAGGTGTGTCCAACCCCGTAGCAAGTGCCGTCGTGGTACCTCCCCAGTAGAGGGGTCCGCGGCAGTGGTCGGGAATGTGGTATCATGTCACCCTAGCCCTCCTCTCTCTCCGGGGGAAAGCTCTACTTCATCTACTACCTTCCAATCAAGGACCTTAGGATTGGTTTCCTATATAACGCACACTATTGCTCAGCTGACGCAGCCTATAATGTCCATTCCTGTAGTTGATGTATCGACAGAGTCAATCGAGGAGAATTCTGCTGTTCTACAGCAGATTCACAATGCCTTCACTGCAGTGGGATTCCTCTTCGTCCGTGGGCACGGCATTCCCAGAGAAATGGTAGGAGCAATGAGTATAATTGAAGTGATAATGACATCGCTCCATCTCTTACTAAAAATTATGTGCATCTTTATGCCAGTGATATTACCCACCATACTGGTTTAAATGCTTTGTGTGTTCTTCCACAGATTGATAGAGTATTGGAAGAGGCGAAGCAATTCTTTTCTCTGCCCCAAGACCTCAAGTCTAAGTACCGTCGCACTGCCAACTCTAACAACAATGGCTATGTTGCTCTGCTTGAGGAAAAGTATGTACCTTATTGTAAGAGAGGGGAGAAGGATATCTCCCCTCCCCCCACCCTGAAAGTGGTTTTGCTCCCGTAAACTGAGCCACAACTGTCTGTTAACCCACTTCAGTCACAATTGTCAATTTTTGCAGCATTGATCCATCCAAACCAGCGGACTTGAAAGAATGCTTCAATATCACATCTCTGAAAGAGTGTGTAAGTCTATGCATGGTCGTGATGTATTGTATTCTTTCTCAATATATAGAGCTATCCAGACACTGAGGTGCCTTCATTGCGGTCAGTTGCTCAGGAGTTCTTTCCAGAATGCTGCAAGCTGGCTCTCTTGCTCCTACGACTAATGGGACATGCCCTCAAACTCAATGTGAGACATCCAGCCATAAGTCTGGGTTAAACTGTCTACTCTGAGTAAATAGTCTCAGGAGGGTGGGTTGATGGCCATCAAATACACAAAATGAATATCTGATTGTGCAACTGAAGGGCTACGTAAGTATTGCCTGGCTTACTTGGCGCTATTATAGTGTCCAGCACCAGGAGGCACTGCAACAGATGGTGCCACGGAAATAGCTACTCATTGGAACAAAGTATCAACCTGGCAAGATAGGTAGCAGCTACAAAGCATTCTGCACTTTTGTTGATAGTCCCAGAAATGCCGGGAAATTGCTAAGTTATTGGCACTAATGGCATGTTAGGACAAGGGTCTAGCCTGAGGATGCTAGCCTCCCTGCACTCAACAAGCCAAGTATTATCAGAGCTTTCTAGAACGTTCCGTGTCGTTTCAACAGCTGCAGTTTTAAGAGCCGGCTTCATAATTATTACATGTATGTACCTACCGAAATTTAGAATCACAGCTGCATTGCATGGTATGGGAAATAAATCCCCTATTCACACAAAAGACTAAGTACGTTCAAAACTCTCCCTGATTATTGCATGCAGTCACCTGGGAAAATCGACTGGGGAAAAATATTACCACTGTGTCTAATGTCTAATTTAT